GTAAAGACAAGAGATTTAGAAGCACTATAATGTGAAGAGAAACGTGAGGGAGAAAAATAGTAACATGGAGAAATCATGACGATTTAGTGGTTATAAGAGATAGCGAAAAGTGAATGCATTTATCCTATCGAGAACGATTTTGAGCCATATCACCAATAGTCTCTAGTCATTGATTCTTAGTATTCACAGGACCCCAGGGAGGTAGATAGTCTATACCCTCCTATGCACCACAAACCAACAATCAAAGGATTGATGAACTTGTGCTATATTTTTGTTTGTATTTTTAGAATTTTTAGTATACTTGTGCGTTGAAGTTTTTGTAGCAATTTGGTTAGGTTTTGGGGGTGGAGTTGCTAGCACCACGCCCCAACCCTCCCTCTTTATCTGGGCTTGGGACCGGCTAGAAAACTAGTGACCTAGTAATCTAGGCGAGGTTTGGATATTTGGAAACTACTAAAGTACTACGGCGTACCCCAAATATTCATCAACCTTATTCAACAGCTGTACGACAACGGAACATGTCAAGTGATCCACAACGGAAAATTCAGCGAAGCGTTTGAAGTAAACACAGGAGTCAGACAAGGGTGCTTGTTATCACCAATGATATTCCTAATTGTGGTGGACTGGATTATGCGTCAGACAGTGGGAAACGAGAAGACAGGGATATTCTGGACCGACATGCAGAACCTAGAAGACCTGGATTTATGTTTGATGTCACATTAAATCGAAGACTTACAAGCGAAAACCGACAAATTGGTCGAAGAAGCAGCAAAGACAGGACTGCAGGTGAACATAGACAAGACGGAGGTTATGAAAATAACCAACCAACAACAACAACAGCAGCAGCAACATCCAGCACCAATCACCATCAACGGAAGGGATTTGAAAGAGGTGACTTCATTCACTTATCTAGGGAGCACTGTCTCAACTACAGGAGGAACGGACGAAGATGTCAAATCGAGAATCGGGAAGGCGAGAACCACATTCATCAACCTGAAACCAATTCGGAAATCTTCCACTGTCACTCAGCATCAACAACAAAATTCGGATTTTCAATACAAACGTCAAGTCAGTTCTTATATACGGATGAGAAACTTGGCGGCGGGTCACAAAGAATATTTCTTACAGCCTGTTGCAGACCTTTATCAACATCTGTCTTCGCTATATACTGAAGATCAGATGACCGGAAAGAATCACCAACAAGAAACTATGGGAAGAAACAAAACAAGAACCAATCGCCCAACAAATATACAGGAGAATGTGGAGATGGATTGGACACTCGCTGAGGAGGCCGCTGGGTGACATCGCATGTCAGGCCAGTGCTCGAGTGGAACCCGAAAGGGAAGCTGCGAGTGGGTCGTCCAAGGTTGACATAGGGGAGATCGTGTGAAGAAGAGTTGAAACAGTGTGAACTGACATGGATGCAGGCGAAAAATACACCAGAAGACAGAAGCAAGTGGAGGCGTGCAGTTGAAGCCCTATGTTCCACTAGGAACCCAAGGGAACAATAATAATAATAATCCCTAATTGTTTTCCAACCTAATCCAATGTCAGCTAACATTGCTCCTCGAGTACAGCAAGATGCGTTATGCATGTGTTGTAGTCGTCTCAATCTATGTATCTGCACAACCTTCAGCGATTGACTTACCCCCTTCACCTAACACTACGCCTAACCTGAATACGGCTCACCGTATTAAACCGCTTAATACGTGAGATAGAACGCAGACACCAACGATCAAAGTCAGTTGACCTTTTCATATCCTCCACTATCGCAATCACCATGTCTCACAGCTATAAAGAGAGACAGCGTGAACTTCTGTACAATACACACGTCCTTTGATCGATAGTTGGATATCACGTCTATGCCATAATTGTGGAGTAGATTGAGAAATCCCACACGAGTCTTTGCTTATGCAAATTCTCAAATAAGTGAAGTGATCAACAAGTCCTACGACTTTATTCTCTATTTTTCAACTAGAAGTTGGAGCAGACCAGTCCTGTAGCATCATCTTACATCTGACAGGGACAAATTGCATACCAAACATCTTAATACTTCTATTCAAGGTATTCAAAAGACTCTGCATTTTATCAGCGTCTTCACTTACATGTAGCTAGTGTTTCAGCTGAGTAAGTTATTATTATTATTGTTCCCTTGGGTTCCTAGTGGAACATAGGGCTTCAACTGCACGCCTCCACCTGCTTCTGTCTTCTGCTGTACTTTTCACTTGCATCCATGTTAGTCCATACTGTTTCAGTTCCTGTTCACACGATCTCCTCCATGTCACCCTTGGACGTCCCACTCGCCGCTTCCCTTTCGGGTTCCACTTGAGGGCCTGACGCGCAATGTCACCCAGCGGGCTCCTCAGCGAGTTTCCAATCCATCTTTACTTTCTCCTGCTGAGTGAGTACAGGTGATAAAAGCGTAAGCTTTTAAAATGTCTGAATTTAACTCTGCATGTGATAATTTGCAAAGATAAATCATGGAGATTTAAGTTAACTTTCTATTTACATGTCAACACGGAGAGAGAAGGGATATTTTCAATCAGTGCTTTTTTTACTACTACAGTGTTCTACAGTATTATTTAATAATAATAATAACACTACGAGACCTTGTCAAATAAATTTACTTTATGATGGGACTGTATCTCTACTACAGTACCAAAGTTCTTTTTTTATAGCTGTGGACTAAAATATGTTGGCCTTAATATTACATCAATAGGTTGTGTCACTGAATTTTTATTGGTATATACTGCTAACCAGTCAAAGCACAGTTTTTTTCATACTTTAAGCTTCTAATTTATTGGCCTTAGCAGATGACTATGTAAATAGCTATCGATCATATACAGTCGTGTTTTGTGAAGTAGTGTACTGTAGAGGTGAATAACAGTGATCATCTACATTGTTCATAGCTAATATTCAGTTAGAAATTATTCTGAATGATCTATTATCCAATTATGTGAATACTTGTCATGAGTGACAACTTTTGTAGTTGTAGTAAGTAAAAAACTATCATTATCTTTCCATTGAGGATAAAACAACTGTCAACAAGAAAACGTCATTCAGATTCAGAATTACTGGTTGAGGATAGAAGGCTTGGTGCCTATATTAATCCTTTTCTAGTAAATTTCTGTGGTTGTCCAAACCCTTCTTGAATGAATCAGTTGATGTGTTGCAGACACCACTTCTTCTGAGAGTCGGTTCCAGAAGTTTATAACTCGGTGTAAAAACCAGTACTCTACAGCAATATGGTTTCTTCTTGGCTTTTGAACTCTCCAGCTATCTATGTCCTCTAAGATGTTCCGACCTAGTCATCTTTGAAAATAAATTAAATCTCGTTGTTCATTAAGTGTAATAAGAAACTACAAGCATATCGGTGTTTGAATTGAGGAGAGTTTGGTAATCAAGTGTTTGAGCTATTAGATAACACCTTAGTTTACTTGAAATTATCATTGTATCATTGTCGACCTCTGTAACTCGACTTCCAATCAAAGGCGTATGGGTTTTTAACTGCACTGCACGTACTGAGGTGGTTTTCACAGCCAGGTAGTATCATTAGTCCTCACAAAATAAATTTAGCTGACCACCAACTGTGGTGAGTGCTACTTATAATCCAATATAAGTAGTATATCATAAACGAACTCAGAAAAGTAACAATCTGTTTCGCACACTGGAAAGAGCAATCAAAGAAGAGAACCATGAGAAGAATGTTGCCATATGATGCAGAATCCAAGAAGCTATCGAATGTGACAATATTCGAGCAATTCATCAACGATGAGGTAAATGATGAGCAAATGGCAGTTTGAAAATATGGTATACCAAATTTGCCTATGTACAATACGTCTCACCAAATAAACATTCCTTTCAGCCTCCTCGGTCTTTTCTTCTTTACACAACTATATGAAAGTGCAAGCAAGCAGTTGTTGAGTAGCAAGCATTTCATTTCGTTCATTACGTCATATTACAAGTGTAAAATATCACTCACTGATAGGTAAATTTATGAATGATGAAAAGTTTTTTGAATGTCTTTGTAAAATTACCCCCCCCCCCCGCTCTATCATGAATTAACTGTTGATATTTTGAAATCTTACAAACCATAAATTTTCTTGGCTAACTCTCTTGTGCTTCATACTTGGTTTATCCTCAAAGTAGCGTACTGAACTATGTCTTACCTCCCCTAAAGATGATGCTCTGTCTAATATTAAACTCAGCAGCATTATCTTTCATACAAGATTGTAATTTCACAGTTATTACTGTATATACATATAATTATATACTCAGTGTGATAAAGTTATCCGACTACATAGCTAAAACTACTATCTATTTATTTAATTTCTTTAAAAAACAAATTTCAGTTTCTTTTTATTCTGAGAAATATATTTCTTTTGTCTTTTCTGTGTTGTGGTTGTTGTTGTTGTTGCTAATTGGTGCGGGTATGACCTTATTCAACAAACAAAAAATGGTATGCCTTTCTTTAACTTACAATAATAATAAGCAGCATCCCTCATGCTTTTTTTCGCTTTGAAAAAAAGAATGTATATCTTCTGTCAGATAGAGAGAGACCGGTCCAGCTATGCACATTGTGTTTTATCAATTTTGTGTGACTACATGTGACTTTTTTTCTGGCGAAAATAGTACTACCGTTACACACTTATGCTTACAGTTTGTCGTTGCTATTAGTATTGTTATTATTAAAAAGTTTCTCTTTCTCTCTGGTTGTGTTGTGTGTTTGCCTTCTCCCCCCTGCCTTCTACCTGATTGTCTCTCCTGTCTTACGGTTTATTTCAGTTCTAAAGTCACCTTCGTTAAATGTCAATCATAGACTTCATTAGAGGGAGGGGGAGGAGGAGAAGATAAGACCTAAAATGCGTTGGTTAATTTTTTATCTTATATTCCTTGTATTGAAATATTACTTGTTTCCAATTGGATATTCTATGTCTGATTCTTAAGAAGAAAAAGTATTTAAAAAAATCTTGTTTTCTTTCTCTTTTTCACATAATTAGTACGCTGATCCTGTATGCGATTATATTGATGCAGCCTCATATTTTCGTCATCGGTTATTTCGTGAAGCTTGTGTTGATCATCAAAGTAATCTGATCAAAGATTTAAGCCGACTTGGCAGAGATGTTGAACAGATATGCATTGTTGATAATTCACCGATATCATTTCTATTTCAACCAAGTAATGCAGTAAGTAGAAATTGTCTGTTTTTGGTTTAATAATTTTTATTTATTTATTTATTGATACAATTATGTATACACACACCAAACTTATTATGGATTTATTTATTGCTAACTCTGGTTGACTAGGTTTATAGGCTGACTTAATTATGTTTGGTTACAGGATTTCATTATGAACTAACGTCGGTTAGAGAAGCATTGGAAAACCTGCGAGTACTAGACAGCTGTTTCGTTTTAGTTTGGGACTTTTCATCGCTATGCACCCACCAAGGACCTTCTGGTTACAAGGCTAGTGAGCTCGTAAACCATTCATCAGCCACTGGGACCTAACCCAATGGCCAGTCCATGAATTGCAACTTCTGCGAAATCACGATATAGCGTGACCACTAACCAATGTCATCGGTGGCGAGTATTCTTCCTTACACCCGACCTACTGTACTTCACTGACTATCACGACTTCTCACTAGAACCCAGGTATAACTACCTACTTAAATAGGGTCAGTCACTAGTGAGCATCTCATTGATAATCAAGTAATGGTTTGTAGGGATTTGATTGATTGGTTACAGGATTTCATCAATGCAAGCTTTCCAATGCTTCTCTAACCGACGTCAGTTCATAATGAAATCCTGTAAACAATCAATCAAATCCCTGCAAACCAATACTTAGCTGTGTTTATTTACCATACAGTGTGTTTGTGTTCAATCTAAGCGCTTAGTGTTATCAATATTGGTTGAATATATTTACTTCACTATCCTTTGCTGCTTAAATTCATTCTGGGAAACGATTGTTGGGATATATCAAATTGTTAGTAGTTTTTCTTCGTTTATAGAGCTTTGTCATCACTTTCATCTGACTCTATGACTGCCCACAAGCTTTTCATATGAACTCTGTGTCATATCCTAGGACGACCGACTCATCGCTTTCCGAAATATGGAATCTTGTGCAATAAGTGTAATGCATAATTTTTCTTTCACATCTCTCTTATTGTTATTATTCACGAGTGGAACATGGGACTTCAATGGCACATCTAAACGTCACTCAGTTCTCTTCAGTTTTTTTTAACGGCCTCCACAATTGCCCTTAAGCCTTCATCTCCTTCTCACATAATCTCCTCTGTGTCACCCTCGGACATACACTTACTTACCTCGTCGTTCCCCAGTCGGATTCTACTCGACGGCTTGCCTAACGTGTTGTGTCACTCACTGGTCTCCTCAATGTTTGTCCATCCATCCCATTTTCTTAAGCATATTTGTTATGCGATAAGTTCTTGATTAGTCTATTTCCAGAGTTCGTTGTTGCCCGCTTATCCTTTCTGGTCGACCATCTGATCTCCAATGTCGAGACGGTGAAAGTGTTTATTGATAAAAGTCTGAAGCCTATTAGAAATGCTTTTCGTGACTCACCATTCTGACCTGTACAGAAGAAGTGGCTTAACATTGCTTTTGAAAATCCGAGTTTCGTTCCTTATGCTGAGTATAACAGATTTCCACACTGATTTTAGAGTGATAAAGGTCTGCCTTACCTTTCCAATTCTGGTTTCGACATCCTCATCTGTTTTGCATGTAGTGAAACAGTGTTGCCTAGCTGAGTGCAGGAAGTGACTTCTTTCAAATTTATTCCGTTGATAGTGATGGGTGCTTGTTGTGACTATTTGGGTGTCTACATCACCTCTGTTTTCTCTGTGTTTATTTGAAGTCTTGTGTTTGCTGCTACTTCTTCTGCCAACTTGTTGGTTTTCACCTGCGAGTCTTCTAGTTTGTGTGCGACCTTAGACACAAATTGTCCACGATGTCCAGATCTTCTAGAGCCTTAACGACTGATCATATTCCTGTCTTCTCGCTTCACACACACACATACACACACTGTCTGTTGCATGATCCAGTCGACTACAATTGGGAATGTAATTGGTGATAGTAGGTAGCCTTGTCTTATTCCTGTCTTCACTTCAAAGACTTCGCTAATTTTTCCGTTGTGGATTACTTGATGTGTGCCATCAGCATACAGCTGTTGAATGAAGTTGAAAAAAATTTTCAGCATTGCTCTCCATAATGTTAAAGCCTCTTCTAAATCACTTCGCAGTCAGCTCTGTCGTTTCACTTAATGTTTTGTTTTATCGCAAACTTTGCTGATCCCCTTTACAGTGGCTGTAGTATATTCTTCTTGCATTAGTTTTTTACTGATTCTTCTCACGTCATATGTACTCAACCATTATGTTCATATCCCAGAGTAAGAGTTTCTATCATACTGTATTCATCACATGACTTTGAAACTCAGTTTTAAAATTAACTAAGTGCTTCCAGTTATTATAATAGACCAATTTTTATTTCTTTTTTGAATACTGTCTTAGTTTACTATTATACATTTATGTTATTTCAAAACCTGTCAGCTGTTTGGTCCTGTTCCTTTTGATGATATCTAGTTTACTCAAATGCCTCGTTAGCGTAAGTGATTGTGTCTTGACATATGCAGAAAAAGGTGTAGTGTAGTGCTTGATAAATGGTCCAGCGACGGATAGGGCTTTCGAATCGTCGCGCTACAGAATGATACTAGAAACAGTTCTGGTTTAGCAAAAGGCTGGGATGAGTACCTTTTATTGTTCTGAAAACCAGTGTATAATAATCCCAATGAGTAGTGGGTGTATCTTTATGTGATTGTACGTCTGTGGTTTAATGCTAAAATACTCGTCAGCGACCAATATGATCCGGTTTCAACTCCAGACTGATACATTTCAGAACATCTTTTAGGCAGTGGTAAAAGTCATAAAAGAGGGAAGGTCCGGCGTGTGACTGACATCAACATCATCCCGTGAAAACAGTACCACTGCTATTGTGGTGAGTGCTATTTATAATCCGATATAAGTAGTATATCAGAAACGAATTCAGAAAAGTAACAATATGTTTGGCACACTGGAAAGAGCAATCAAAGAAGAGAACCATGAGAAGAATGTTGCCATATGATGCAGAATCCAAGAAGCTATCGAATATGACGATATTCGACCAATTCGTCAAGCATGTGGTGAATGATGTGCAAATGGCAGGTTGAGAATATGGTATACCAAATTTAGCTATGTACCATAAGTTTCACCAAATAAGCATTCCTTTCAGCCTCCTCGGTCTTTTCTTATTTACACTATCAAAACTTTACAGCTCAAACCTGGAGCCCTGTGTTTCACTTTGCTTGATAATGGGATGACAAAAGTGCGTGACAGACGGTAGCATAGTGGTTTGAGTTTTAAATAAGGCATTAAGAAAACAAATATCGTGAGATGATATATCACCTTGTAATTTCTTTACGAACGTTTTACAACTAACATGGTTAACGATAATAAAACAAAATATATGATAACTACTCAGCTATATAAAACAAAAGTACATACTAATAACCAATCATGTTTTTTAATAGGTCAAGTAGTCCATAGTAGACAAAGATTGAAGTCAGTTGTTTTCTGTGCACATGGTTTAGGATAAATTTGATGAGTCCAAAGTGCTCCCGTCAACTTTAATAACCATGCATTAGAGTTATGTGAAATAATTGTGAAACAGTCATTAATATTGATTTTGTGACTGATTTCGTTAGACTGGAAGCTTGAGATTGCTTTTACATGTCGTAATAGGTGTTATAAGAGTATTCTAGTGTGTTTGCATTTTCTTATGATTTGTTAGGGAGGTAATTCTACTTTTTTTCGTTTGAAAATATGCTTATCAGGGAATATCCACTGAGTCCTTATTTTCCGCACACTATGTGTAGTAATCAATTCTATGCGTCTTTTTAAAAACAGTTTTAAAAATGTCTTCACCTGACCCTGTTGACTTCATGTAGTTTTTTTCCACATTTTCCAATAATAAGTGTTTGTTAAACAAATATCTTTTAGGATTGATAATTGCGTTTACATCTCGCTGTTTTTTTCTATGTTCTTTCGAATTTTTTCTAGTTGCAAATTGTTTCATGGTTTGGTGATACAGGAGATCAAGCTTTATCCGATTTAATACCGTATTTGACAGGATTAGCAAATGCTCGAACTGTTATAGATTATTTACGTGAGTTTCGACCACCACAAAATGCAGCTATTGCACAACCAGCCACTCCTACATGGTTATTACTGTTTAACAATACTCTTCCAGGTGATGTAAATACTTCGGAAGATAGTGATGGTGGAGATGTTGACGATGAAGATGTTAACGTGGATTATCATGATGAAGATGCTGTCTTATCGCCTCATTATGCTTTAACTTAAAGTTGTTTCACTCGGATGCAAATATATAGGCGTATGTTGTATAATATTCATACAATCAATTATCAAGTTATGGAGTGCATCATTAACAAGAAATGTTTGCGATTATTATTTTTGCATAGTCCTCATATATATATATGATCTTCTATTCCAAATGCTCACACCATCAAATACACGCGTCCTCTTTTTTTTTGTAAAAAGATAAATGCGATATGCATTCCGTCGTTTGAATGTGCATTATAAACAGGCTATTTCACTTTCCTGTTTATTTTTCTACGGCTGTGCAAATAGTTTAAACTTGTAATATGTGAAGTATACACACATATATCATATATCTATACATATATACATTGTAAAACTCTACTGGAGTGAGTGTTTTTTCTACATGTTTATCTTGAAATTGTGTAATTACTCTTTCAACTATCATTACTTTCCCCTTCTTTTTGTTTTAGAGTTCTAAGTGAATAAAAAGAAAGAGGTTAAACACACACACCTGATGCCTTTTTGTTGTAATAGTATATTCCCCTCATGAAAACACATCATCATTGTGTTGTTTTATCATTGGTGTTTATTATCCAATCCCTTGAAGAAGAAAAAAAAGAAACTTTTTTCAGATTTTTGATTTTATCCATCTTTAATTCCTCCCCTCCCCTCCCCTTTCAAATGAATCATCATTTGAAGAGTAATAATGATGTTGAAATGATTAGAAAGTTTTGTTCTCTAAAATTTCTGCATGCAGTTTACACAGTTTCCTCCCCCTCCTCCCTTTTTTCCCTTCTTCTTCTTGTAATCAATCATTCATCTCATCAGTATTCTAGCATGTATATTTTTTTCTCTCTCACTGCTCTTCCAAGAAATAGTTTATACTAATAATTAGGAATTTAGTGTGAAGAGTGCGAGTGAGTGGTTGGAACGTGGGCCGAGGGGGAGGGAAGAGGTCTTTCTACTTTTTTCATTAATTATAGTTCATTGTACAATTACCCTTACTTTTCACTGAACCAAGTTGACTTTTTTTCCTTGTTCACGTTTTGTTTTTCTAATATTCAACATATAGAACCATCCCTTTTTTGAAAGGGGACGGGGCCGGTGGAGAGGGTTAATATTCGTTGTCATCTTAAAGGAGAACTCAGGTCTCATTCATTGTTTTGACACTTGTTTATATGTATGAGATAGATATCTTTGCAGTTTGTTCGTTTGTTTACTTGTTTATTTCACCTAATATATTGTTCTGTATCTTTTTTGTCTTTCGTTGAATTGGTTTTTATATAATAAACGCTTTAATTATGTTTTATTTTATGTTTCATCTCCGTTCTTCATGTTATTCTTATGATTTGTTGCGTATTTACGCAGTTTTTCAGACAAAAGTATGCTATTATTATTATTACTAATATTTGATTTATTGCTCAATGTCTATATTATTCACCCTGCATACAGCAATTCATCTGCATATGTCTTCCTTAATTTCATTTCCTTGTTTACCTTACCCTAGTTGATATCGTTATTATTATTATTGTTGTTATTGTTGCGGTTTTTATTGATTATTGCTAGTCCCTCCCTCCACCTCCAAGCTCCCATATTTTACACTCATACGCGAGTCTTCATACAACATTTTGTTTTGTTCTTCACCAAAGCGCCTTAAAAATTTATTACTATTAATATTGCATATATATATATATATGTTTTGTTAATTTAAATAAACAATTCCACAATGAGTTTCCTATCGCTATTATTATTATTACTACTATTATTATTGTTATTATTGAGATATAGAAATAATAGGTTATAATTATAGATTATGATTATGTATACATTCACATACATATATTTCATTTTACCCCCTGTTTATTTATTCAAAGTGTTTCTTTATTATACAATGAATTGTTTACTCCTCCTGCTCGTCTTTATCTTCTATTCCCATTATATTAATATAATATTGTATTGTATATTGTACACATATATACACACAAACAGTTCTTATACTTATGGTTTCCTGTTTAGAAGAGAGGAAAAAAACACAAACAGACAGAGAACAAACAAACACACACTCACGTTAATTTTCGGCATCAGTTCATGGTCACCATCACATTTATCGGCATCAAGAGTCTTTCAATTGGGAAGTTAAAAATGTCTTTTTTAAATTTTATCTTAAAGATAAAAGAAAAGAAGTTTTACTCAACTTTAGGTTTTATTCTTTCACAGACTGAATGAACCATACAATAATAATAATAATAATATAGTGTATAGAGTGCACATTGTGAAAGATATTATGATCACCATTATTGATTCAGTCATCCTATCCTATCTGGTTTGGTTCACTACTACTACTACACACACCCCACTTGATAACCTCTTTTAATAGTAGATATTATCATCTTGATCACCAGTTGTTTTTGATTTTGTTTTGTGTACATGTGTTGTGCATACCTCAGTATTATTCGTGTCTGAATGTGTGAATAGTTGGCTGGGGGGGGGGGGTTTCTGATGTAGTAAATTTGCTCAAGTACACTGACGTTGCTTCACTACTTATACGGAGAGTTAAACCGAACTGGCAGACTTAACGTATGTGTGTTTGTTTGTTTGTGTGTATATTGTCTACGAAGAATTAGAATTGTGTAAAAATAAATTTTCTCCTTTTATAGAAGAAAAGTATTCACTTTTTATTTCTTTCAGGTGTTACTTACTTTTAGCTAGTTTTTGTCAGTGTAGTTAGTAAAGAATAAAATATTAGGCGAATATTTCTCTGTTTTCTTTCCTTTTTATTAAAAAAAAGCATTCTCCAACCTTCCTTGCTCTCCCTTATCAGCATGTGTTTGTTTTCCCCTTAATATTTTACTGTTCGTTTGTTTTGTTGTTTTTTTTTACAGAAAAATATTAGATAATGAATTTGAGTAAAAGTTGAAAAGAAAAGGGTGTGTGGTGTGTTTTTCGGAAATTCTATATAAGGCAAAGTTGAACTAAAAAGTTATAAAACTGTGTTGTGTTCTCTTTTTTTACTACAACAATTATTATTATCATTATTATTATTCAGTATGCGTTTTGTTTTGTAAATTTTTTTAATAACTAAAAGCGTTGAAAACAAAATATAGAAAATATACATGATGTAATGTAAAGTTGTTTCACATTGTACTCTGTTTGTTGTGATTTATTTCTGTATGTATGTATGTTTGTGTGAGTGTGTGTGTGTAATGAGTGCTATTATTATTGTTTCCTTTAATTCCTAGAGGAACATAGGGCTTCAGCCGTGCGTCTCCATTGCGTTCGGTTCTCTGCTAGAGTTTTCACCTGGCTCCAAGTCTGCCCACACGTTTTCATCTCCTCTTCACATGACCTCCTCCAAGTCACCCTTGCACTGACGACCAACTCGCCACTTCCCTTTCGGGTTCCACTAGAGCAATGGCTTGTCTAGTGATGTCACTTGATGGTTTCCTCAGAGTATGGCCAGCCAATCCATCTCCATTTCTTCCTGCCTATTTGTTTGACAGTCGGTTCCTGGTTGGTTCGCTCCTAGAGATCCCTGTTGCTGATCTTTTATGGCCATCTGATCTTGACTGGTATTGAGCGAAGACAACTGTTAATGAAGGTCTGTAGTTTGTTTGAGGTGCTGTTTATGACGCACAGTGCAAGTCTCTGTTCCGTATGTTAAGTAGCACTGACTTCACATTGGAGTTGAAAATCCGGATGTTATTTTTGATGCTGAGTGCTGTTGACCTCCACACAGACTTGAGAGTAGTGACAGCTTGTCTTGCTTTTCTGATTCTTGCTTTGATATCCTCGTCAGTTCCGTTCTCCTGTAGTTGAAACGATGCTTCCCAGATAGGTAGGTGAAGGAGGCTGTTTCTTTCAGGTTCCTTCCATTTATGCTTATTGTTGTCTGTTGTTCTTGCTGTTGTTGGTGTTGCCCAGGAATCTTCATCACCTCTGTTTTCTCTATGTTCACCTGAAGTCCTATCTTCTCCGGATGCTTCTTCTGCCAACTTGTTGCTTTTCACTTGCATGTCTTCCAGTTTGTGGGAAATCAGACATATATCATCGGCTAAGTCCAGATCCTCCAAGGTTTTGTGTGAGTCCATTTTATGCCTGTTTCCTCATTGCCCGGCTCGCTGTCTGTCGCAATATCCAGTCTACTGCAATCAGGAAAATCATTGGCGATAGTAGGCAGCCAGCTTGTCTTACTCCTGTCGTCACTTCGAAGGGTTCCGTAAGTTTCCCGTTGTGGATTATTCATACATATCTTTTGAAATGTGATTCTTTCAATCTCAACAACTTGGTGATGTTATTTAGAAAACATCAAATGTCGTCAATATCGATTACTCCGTAAATATAATGTGTGTACGTAGATAACTGGAAAGCCAAATTTGGAAGTGATTTCACGATGGATGCTGCGCCTGCAAGAGTACGATTTCACGATCTCTCATGTTCCAGGAGAAGAGAATGTGTTACCGGTTATTTTATCTAGAACAGAAGAGGTAGATTCACCGGAAATAGCATATGGTGTAAATGCCTTAGAGCAGGACCCAGCAAGACTTGTCCAGATTCAAAGATCAGACGACACCTTGAAAACTGTCATACAAGTTATAACTAACGAAAAAAAGGTGAATCGGCCCACAGTGAACCGTAAGCTAAATCTCCTACTCAAACAAAAAGACCGGCTAAGCTTGAATGCCTGCGGAATGTTGACGTGGTGGGAGGATGACGGAAGCCGCTTAGCGGTAATACCTCAGTGTCTGCGCCAAGAGATGATACAGGAATGCCACCAACTAGCTCACACAGGTGTTGCCAGAACGAACGATCTCCTGCGAAAAAGCATGTACTGGCCAGGTATGAGAGAAGTACGTAACAGCGTGTACTTGACGTCAGCTGATGAAAGGTGAGCAGTACATACGACCGTCACCGCAGTCGATCCCAGTGACAGCAGTAGGCGACCTGTGGTCAGTAGATGTAATGGGACCTTTTCCACAAGCGTCCAATGGCAATCAATATCTTCTGGTCATGACAGAACATGCCACACGATGGCTACACGCAGTCGCGATCCCTGATCAACGCGCAAAAACGGTCACAGAAGCAGTGGTGCGACATATTGTTGCAAATCATGGTGTGCCAAAAGCGATATTGACAGACCAAGGTTCGTGTTTTGAAAGTGAAGAGTTTAAAGCCCGGCTGCAAGAATTAGGTATCAAGAAAATTAGAACAACGCCATATCATCCACAAACAAACGGACTGACGGAGAGGAATAACCGCACTCTGAAAGAGCGGCTGGCCACAAAGGGCGGTAACTGGGAGACAGAGCTTCCACTGATTCTGCTAGCATATCGTTCGTCCGCGTAAGAAACGACGAAGAAAGCACCGTTTCAGTTGATGTATAGGAGGAAACCACGACTACCGATACATAACAAGACCTGGCCCCTCCATCAGAATTGGAGTATGACGAGATGGCGGACGGAGCGGAAAGAAGCCATCAACAACGTCAAACGAAAGCAGAAAGTGGACGCTGTGAAAGCCGAACTGAGGGTAAAGGAGAAGTACCCCGCATTCGTGATCGGAGATCAAGTCAAATGTAGAGATAGGCGAAACACGGGCGGATACGTATCAGGGTCGCGGAAACTGCTATCAAAGTGGGAAGGACCATACACGGTCACCGCGAGACGGGGGCATGTATATACCATCAAAAATGCAAACAGAGAGAAGCGGGTGAACATCAGCGAGCTACAGAAATGGATAGAGTGAGACAAGCCAACGATGACGCCAGCACCAAGAAGATCAAGCCGACTTCAGTCCAAACTATTTGGCGGGGAGACGAGTGTGGTGAGAACTGTCTACTAGCCAAATTGGTAGACAGTAATTAACGTCAATGTTTACGTTCTCAAGATTAATCGTGAGAAAATATGAACAAGACATTCAAAAACCGACCACAGCAGACTTTGCGTAGGCGGATATAGTTAACATATAGATGATCTGACATTCAAGAAACAGTCACAAAGAGATGAAAGATTAACTTTAAGTGATAAACAACCAATCAGAAGACTGTGTTTGTTTACTTAACTATAATAGTGTACATGAAAATATATAAATATGCTTTGATTTCCTTAATAAATGAGCTGTTGCCTGGCCCTTGTCTTCTGTTGTTACAGTAGTAGTAGTTGAGCGCTATTAGGTGTAAGTTATTATTATCATTATTTTCAGTCTTCATTGGTACTATTTGATATAGTTTTTCTTTCTTTAAAAAAAAGAAAAATATGATTGCTAATTTTAATTAACTCTGTATGTAGTTTTCTATGAAATCATAAATAAATCTGAAGTAGGTAATAAATACGAAACAGAAAATGGGTCAACAGTTAGTGTGCAGAGATTTGATTGTGATTCAGGTTTGATGACAGTTGAAAAAAAGCCAATCCGGGAGTACTAGATACAGTTGTTTCTCCCTAGTTAGCTTAGAAGTTTTCAGCATTACTCATTCACAACCCGATCGAGGATTGAAACCATAATCTTCAGGTTATGAGGCCAATGTCGTTCAGCCATTAAGGTAGGAAAACAATAACTTATGAGATCTGGAACTGACAGAGGTTAGAATTCATGTACCGTTAGATTCTACTCCAAGTGTCTGAATAATCACTGAGTTATGCCTCGTAACTTGTAGGTCCCCGGTTTGAAACCCGGTGGGTGGCGTACCTCTGAAGTGTCTCAAGCTAGGGTGGAACAGCTCTTTACTACTCCCTGGTTTTCAATTATTCTTCAAGTGACATCAATACTGGATCAAACTTGAAAGAATGGATCAATCAACTAGATTCTAGTATATAGATAATGAGCTAATGTTTGCAATGTCTTACTCATTTCAGTCTCGCTGAGATTTTACAAATATAATATTTTACAAATGTCTACTTCTCACTCGATGCCCAAATATTTTAGAACTATTCTGTCAAATCTTGACGACAGTTCATTTGAATTATTTTGCAATCGAATTAAGTTAGCAAAGAAACTGTGTAATTGGCACAATCATCGTGTTTTCACTCTCCGTTGTCTGCAACAGAATAATGCATATCCTAAATCCGAAGCTGTCGAGTCACCTGACAACTCCAGTAGGTCGAATAAAGCAGCTCAATCTTCAGGAAGAAGACAAAGCAATAAGTCCGACAGGGTGCTTCCACTAAACGCTAATCCTGAACACCATAATTTTGAAAATACGTCTAATCATAAAATTCTAGATACTAACAGTTTGAACAGACATGAAGGCGTGATGTTAGCCGATGCATAGGAAATCCTTATTAATAACTAAAAAATGGATATGTATCACTAATTATTAATACTTGGTCAAAATTCTCGACTATCCATATCTTCTTATGGAGACGTCAAGAAATGTTTTACAACTGTTTACCCATACACACTCTGTTTAGAGTGTTTAACAAAGGC